GAAAACCACGATAAAAACAGTATTTCTGAAGACTGTGAAAAATGTTCAGATTATAGGAATCACAAATCACGAGCACTAAAAGCTAGAAATCTTTACCAAAAACACAAAGAAGAGAAGGACAATGAACCCAACCACATTTACTATAGCACAGATTTGGAAAAAGTCATCATGTTACCAAGATTGGAAACTTTTAAGGAAGTAATTTTTTGTCAAAGGCTTATAGCGTTTAATCAAACGTTTGCTCCGGTAGGAAAATCTGATACAAATCCATACGCTGTTTTATGGCATGAAGCCATAGCTGGCCGCAAACAAGAAGACATTATTAGTGCCTTTAATGTTTTTCTTATGTATTGTCGCGATTATGATTTAATTGATTTGTGGCTTGACAATTGCGCGGCTCAAAACAAAAACTGGCTATTGTATTTTTATTTAGTCCACATTATAAACTCCAGTGAAATCAATGCGAAGCAACTTAACCTTAATTATTTTGAACCTGGACATACCCATATGAGCTGTGACCACTTCCATCACCAGGTAGAGCTTGCAATGAAAAGAAAGAAGAAACTCCACGATTTTCAAGACTTTATTGAAGCAGTTTCTGCAGCCAATTCCGCAAAAGTGACTGTTAAGGAAATGAAAACCTTCGACTTTATTAACATTAATGACTATACATCACCGCGAAGAATCCAAACATCAAACCCACGTGCGTATATACGAAACATGGTGCAAGTAATATTCAAACGAGGATCATTTAATTTATTTTACAAAACTGATTTTGATGGTGAAATACATGAATTAACTTTTTTGAAAGATACCTATTTAAAATCTAAAAAAGGAACGATTTCTGTAATTACGTCGAGAACAAATCCAAGAGGCATAAAAACTACAAGAAAAGAGAATATACTGAAAAAACTTAGCAAATTTATGCTTCCTTACAAGCAAATATTTTGGAAAAATTTACCTACGAATGATAACGAAAATGCTGATTCTGATGAGGAATAATGATTATGAGGATTATGATAAATTTATCAATAATATGGGGTATTATTTAAAAATAATGATTGCTGATTGCAGTGTAGAGTCACTTTGTGACGACAAATAATATTTATAAGTATAAAAAGTATCTTTTATCAAGAGCATTAAAAGTCTGAATATACTCGTACTAATTAAGGTTTTAGAATGTAACTTTTGTTTGTTAATTTTTTAAATATCTTTGTTTTGTTTTTATTTTTTAAATTAATAAATATTGTAAGCTTGATTGCCTATTAATTATAAAATGAAAATGTGATTGAAAAGTCTGATTACCTGATATACTAATTAAGGTTTAAAAAATAAAGATTTTGTTATTAAATTTTTCTTTTCATAATTTTCTTGTTTTTCCTAAATCTCTAAAGGTTTAATGTTCTCTAAAGCAGATTTTTATGTAACGCTTAGCAACTTTTCAGACTTACATAACAATAATGTACCTATGCTAATGCTAACTAAAAAAGCAGTTACATGGGATTGATGTGCATTTAACTGCCTTTTAGGTTAGTTATAATACTATTTAATTTAATTATTTGATAAACAAACTAAACTTAAAGGCAGTTAAATCACTAAACTGCAATAAAGCGTAATCTACGAATATTATTTAAACCATGCGTCAGAAATCAAAAAAAAGCTAAAGTAGGTTGGCCGCATTTTAGCGTATGATTATTATTAGTACTACACTAAAAAGCGGTTATGGTATACTTAGCTGCCTTTTATATTATGATAAATATTCAAATATAATGTTATGATACTTACGTTAACTACATTTTTAGATTTTACTGAACAGTATACCATTAATTTTAAGAAAAAATATTTACAAAAGTTACGTAACTTTTTTTTACATGCATTCCAATAGTTGAAACTTTTTTCTCGGTCACAGATATCAAGAAAACCAGTTTCCCACTTTTTTCAATTTTTCTCGAAACATACTTTTGTGGCTTAGCCGCCTTCTTCCGTATCAGGGCAGTACAGCTATACCACTAATATATCTGCACCATAGATATACCGTGTAAAAATGCCAATTGTAATAAAACTTTACTGAAATAAAACTTGAACCGTACGTAATAAAACTTGACGATCAGATAAAGAGCAATGCCGGGAATGATATAGTCTATATATTTTATACCAAAAATTGAGTAAATATTTCATTTCATTAATGAAGTAAATAGTCTTCGATGACTATCTTAAATTTAAATAACACCAAGCGAAGCCGGGGTCGTTCGCTAGTCATAAATAAGTCTATATGATTAATGCCCCGCGTGTTTTTTTTTTATAGAATAAGGGTGACAAAGGAGCACACAGTCCACCTGCTGGTAAGTGGATGCTGTGGCCCATAGACATCTACATTTATCTTCGATTAAGTATCAAAATGTAGATGCGTTGTCACCCGTGAGGACTAAGATAGAATGCCTCGTTTAAAGTTAAAAAAAACGCTGGTATTCTGTGAGAGGGTGGTCTTTCCCCGGTCGAGACGACCTAGTCGTACTACAACCATAATATAGCTGCAGCGTGTACCTCGTAAAAACTGTATATTGGCGATTTCTCAGAGATCATATGCCATAAAAAGTTAAGAGTCCCAGTTCATTAATTAGGATGCTCGAACGTAAAAGATAGTAAAACCTCAATTCAAAAGTTGTCTAACGCTACAAGTCTGTTCTTATTGGGTTTCGAAGAAACCAAAATCAAACATGCATTTCTTTTAAAATTCACTGTTCACTGTTCGCCATTGACCCGTGTTCGACAACATCTTGCCAGCTACTATCATCTAACCTTAATAATATTATACAGCTCATACAATGGAGAAGAACTATTGATTTAATAATCAATTTCATCATTATCATCATTACAGTTCTTCACAATTCTACTGCTGAACATAAGCCTCCCCTTATAGAATGATTCATAGATTTAGCCATAGTGTCACGCTTGGCAGGCTGGTTGGCAAGCGTAGTTTTTTTATTATTTTCAGTTAATATCAGGCCATCTCCTTTTTCAGTTTTCCTCTGTCGCCTCTTAAGCCACTCACTGATGATATAAGGATAAATATATACGTGGCAGAGCCATGCTGCAGCTATATTAGTAGTATAGTTGTAGCACGAATGGGTCGGCTCGACCGGGGAAGGACCACGCTGTCATAGAATACTGGCGTAAAATAGCAGCTTAACGCTGCTGTGTTTCGTATGGTGAGTGTAGAGAACCGGAGACCCTTTTTACTGGTAAAGAGGCATTCCATCTTAGTCCTCACGGGTGACAACGCATCTGCATCTTGAGTCTTGATTGAGGATAGATGTAGATGTCTATGGGTCGCAGTAACCACTTACCATCAGGTGGACTGTGTGCTCGTTTGTCACCCTATACTATAAAAAAAAATATAAGGAAGATATAGGGTAGTAGATATTCTAACGCCGCCACTACACAGCGATAATATGTTTTATTTTATTTATTTAAATTTATTCATAACGTAACGTCACGTTCTGGGAATGGATCCGATTTTCGAAAGTCTAAGTTTTACTACACGTTTGGAATCCGTATAGAGCGATTTTACTATTTTAAAAAGACACTACTTACTATTTTAAAGGCAGTGCATTTATACGTGCATATACGTTTTTGACCCTTTTTCATTAGGCGTAATATCGCAAAAACAAATTATGAACATCAAATTAATTTAAGAATCGGGCAGGTTAACATTATAAACGATAAAATTTTCTTTAAGATTGATTCGGTTTGCTCGGAACCACCAGGTCTCGAACGCACGCATAACTGCTACCTCTTGTACATATCAGAATCTATTAAATTACCTTTACAGTCTACAACATTCGAAGTATTTATTTAATACCACCAGCACAAGGAGAGCTTGATACTCAACAGTGGTTAAAAAAAACATAATTTACAATAAATCACGTTATGTTAAGTTAATAGTGCTGAGAGTAATGCAGACCGTATCACACACACAGACATCCTTTTTTTAGTAATTGTTTTCATGTCATATAGAGTTACCTACTATTTCCACATTAGTTTGCTAAAATTTATAAGAAACTAAAAAGAAAATGAAATTCTATTAATTCCAAACAGCTTACGAGCACGAGGTTTTAATTCTTTGAAGTACTGTGTCTTACCGGCTTACCACCAACTTCACTTTGTCATAAGTCCAGTTTTTTAACTCTCTTAAGTGAACTTTAGCAATATCACGAGCTCAAGGTAACTAGCAAGGCAATCCCTTATTTCCCACCCTTACGGTAGAATTTTTTTTCATCGGTTCAACCGTTTCGTGCAATCGGTGCACATACATAACCTCACAGAATAGCAGCGTAAAATAGCAGCATAACGCTGCTGTGTTTCGTATGGTGAGTGTAGAGAACCGGAGACCCCTTTTTACTGGAAACGAGGCATTCCATCTTAGTCCTCACGGGTGGCAACGCATCTGCATTTTGATTCGTAATCGAGGATAGATGTAGATGTCTATGGGCCACAGCAACCACTTACCATCAGGTGAACTTTGTGCTCGTTTGTCACCCTAATTCTATAAAAAAAATACATATATGTATTTATATAGGCGTCGAATAGAACCTCTTCTTTTTTGAAGACGGTTAATGAAATAAAATAACAATAATTAGGTACAAGACAATATTATTTAAACATCCATTGCTGGCTTGCTAAGCAAAATAACCAGTAATATATAAGATTATATTAACTACACAAGATTAGTAATTGTGTTAAAGACAACTGGAAACAATGCAGGCAACCAGCCATCAACAAAGAAAATTCTTTTAGTCACGTTTATATGACATAACATTACTCCAATGACAGAACTTATATAATCATTGACAAATAAGAGTTCGCTTGCAAATTTGTTGTGATTTTTAATGTTCTAGTCTAATGTTTCTTAATAATAAAAGAAAATTCGAATGACTAACTTGTTGTTAGGCAACGGACGTGTGTTTTCCAATTCTATAGAAAATATTGTTTTGTGGTAGTGTGTGGCGATCACGGTTTCGTTGGAGCGTCAGCGTGTTGGCGGCGGTGGTGGCGGGCGCGCTGGTCGCCTTGCTGGTGCTCCAGCCGTGGAACAGCAGGGACCACCCGCGCTATCCGCGCGCCGCCGTCGCCGCTAATGGCTACGAATGCGCTTCTATTGGCCGGTAAGTTTTTTTTATAGGAGAGGGGCAAACGAGCATGCGGCTCACCTGATGGTAAGTGACTACCGCTGCCCATGAACAACTGCAACACCAAGGGTGCGTTGCTGGCCTTTCAAAAAGGAGTAAGCTCTTTTCTTGAAGGTCCCTAAGTCGTATCAGTCCGAAAAAATCGCCGGTGATAAATTATTCCACAGAGAGGTCGTACGCGGAAGAAAACTCCTAGTGAAACGTACAGTGGTGGACCGCCAAGCATCCAGATAGTGTGGATGGTATCGGGAGTTTTGTCGCAATGTGCGTTCTTGAAATTAGGCAGCTGGGATTAATCCGAACAATTCATCAGGGCACTCCCCGTTGTAAATGCGAAAAAAAAGGAAAGGGATACAACATCCTTTCGCAGCAGCAGTGAACCGAGCATATCGGAAAGGACTCGGTCGTCGACAATTCGAACCGCTCTGCGCTGGATGCAATCAAGTGGAAGGAGCTGTTAAGTGAGGCCGAACCTGCGCCTTGTAAAGTTGCAGGCGGTGTGCCGGCATGAAATACTGTCCCGCTCTACGGAGCACGCCAAGCTTTTTAGAGACCCATTTGGACTTCTCTTCCAAGTGACCACGAGACTGCACGTCACTCAATATGTTGACGCCGAGGATTCCGATACTGGCTGAGGCAATAAAGAAAGTGGCTTGAAACTAAGGAGATACGACAAAGGGGTTCTTTTTAGCGGTAAACGCGCAAACTTGTGTCTTCTGGGGATTCAACTGGACTAGATTTAGTCGCCCCCAATCCGAGACTTTGTTCAGCAAAGACTCGAATTCAGACACAAGTTTGTTCCGGTGCTCGGCGACGCTTTCCCGAGAAATATTGGCACGGCCGGTGCATCGCCAGTGCTGTCAGCCGCGTAGTAATGAATGTTACCGCTTCGCAACATATCATTGATATGCAGAAGAAACAGCGTTGGTGATAGCACGCAGCCTTGTGTTACACCAGAATTAATAGGCTTGTAGAGTATGAGTCAGGTAGACAAGAAGATCACCAGCTGATCGACCGCGACGAAAATCGTATTGGCGGTCACTAATCAGCTGGTGATCATCAAGGTACTGCATGAGCTGGCAATTTATAATGGATTTCATTATTTTGGAGAACAAGGATGTAATGGCGATAGGCCTATAGTTGGACGGGTCTGAGCGGTCGTCTTTTTTAAAAATCGAGTAGACAAAAGCCATCTTCCATGACTGCAGAACTACGCCTAGGGAGTAGGAGTACCGGAAAAGACGCGTTAGAACCGGTGCCAACTCCGGAGCACACGTCCTCAGCACAATTGTGGGGATTCCGTCAGGCCCACTCGACTTGTGGATGTGCAGGGAGAGGAGTGCTTTGCGAACCGAGTGCTGTGTGAACCGCTCATCTGGCATGGAGTACTCACACCGCGGAATGGTCGGCGGTCTGTTACCCCCGTCATCGAGAGTCGAGTTGGACGCAAAGAAAGAGCCTAGTAGATCGGCTTTCTCCTTTGCGGCATGGGCCATTGAGTCGTCATCCCTGTACAGAGATGGAAGAGATTGCTGACAGAAGTTCAGCTTGGGCAGCCTTGTCGAGAAACCAGAATGCACGGGTTTCCGAAGGAAGACGAGTTTCTCACCAATTCTGCGTATGTGCTCTGACTTTACCCTAGCAATGACTCTTTTGAAGAACCTGGAGGCGGAATTATACTTCTTTTTAAGGGCGCTAGTCTGTACATTCCGGGACGTTAATGCTTCAGCCCAGGCTCGGTAGCACTCCTGCTTATAGCGTGATGCTATTTTACAGGAGTGACTAAACCATGGCTGAGATCTGCCTCCGATGCCTCCTCCACAGAGGAAGGAATAAAAAGTTCCATATCTTGAAGTACCACATCAGCAACAGAATTAGCAACAACGTTGGGATCGTCCGGCGAGAAGCAAACCCGGCCCTAAGGGTTGGATGCAAAAAAAGACCGCATCCCATCCCAATCGGCTGACCTATAGTGCCCAACACGCCGGCAGCCTACAGAAAGCAACCGCGATTTCAGCGTGAGTGGCACCACACTCCGAACTAGACAATGGTCCGTGGAGTCAAAAGGGGCGTGGACGGAGACCTGATATCTGTCCGAATTAGAGGTCAGCAGAAGGTTCAACAGGGAAGGTGCATAATCCTCCATATCTGGAATCTGCGTAGGCATAGTAACCAGTTGTATCAGACCATATGCCAAGGCAAAATAATGAACAGATCTCCCCGCATGATCGGTTAAACGTGAACCGAGCCATTCGGCGTGGTGGGCATTAGATTACCAAGGATCACGATCTGTGCGTATTGGACCTGTTGTCGCAAGGAATCTGTAGCCATTTGGACGTAGTCGATGAGTCGGTCTGTTTCGGCATTACCGCTATGGGACATAAGTCCCATAGCGGTAATGCCGAAACTGACCGAAAATGAGTAAAGTAGCTTGGTCGTGGATGCTCAGCGAGGGATTCTCCGGGGGTGCTGGTACCCTCTTGGAGTAGTCTTTCATTTAATTCCGCCCCTATGTTGATGGGGGGTAGGGGTGGGATTGGGCCTCCGGCGTTCTCAATTTCCAAAATAACAAAAATTAAATAATAACAAAATATATATAATAGGCTCCTTAATCTAATGATATATATATATATATATATATATATATATATATATATATATATTAAATAAATTGTCTTTTAAAACATACTCTGGCATTAGGCCACCAATAGCAACATCGGTTTAAATTTTCGAATATCTTTAGCAGTTATGGAATCGTCACTTGGCGAGACATTAGCAATAGACTTTTGATAGACTGTAATGAATAATTTTAAAACTTCTTTCTTCATTCTTTCATAAGATTTGATTCAACTCAAGTCTAAAGTTTCTTTATAAACTGTAAAAATATTTTTTTACGATTAACAGCTTAGTTCTCTTAAAATTAAATATTAGTTTATGACAAACATTTATTTTTAAGAACGTGGAACTATATAAATACTGTCTAAAGATAAATTTGCCATTTTTGGATATATAATTTTTTTTAAATAAGTGAACCCACACATTTTATGTGCGCTACACATCTCAAAATATTGTTCCATTGGTTGGCGTTTGTGATTAAATTATTTAATGTTATTAATTACAGTGAAATACTAGAGAAAAACGGTTCTGCCGTGGATGCGGCCATAGCAACTTTATTTTGCGAGGGGTTGGGCTGCGCACAATGTATGGGGCTCGGCGGCGGGTTTTTGGCGACGGTGTACGACGCATCCACGGGAGAGGTTCGTGTGATCAACGCGAGAGAGAGGGCGCCAGCGGCTACTCACGAGAATATGTACGACAACAAGTCCTCCGTAGTGGGAGGCTTGGCCGTCGCCGTGCCCGGGGAGCTCAGAGGTTACGGGGAGCTCCACCGGGTATACGGACGCCTGCCGTGGAACGAGTTAGTGAAACCAGCAGCGGAACTATGCCGCAATGGTCACCGAGTCAACGAATACATGGGCCGCGTCCTCCGGTCTTACAGCGACAGGATCAAAGCCGAACCTTCTATGAGGTTGGTGGATGCTTTATTGTCTTTATTGCGTTTTATGTTTTAATTGCGCTCGTATCATTTTACATAAAAGAGTGCTACACGATCATTAATAGTTTGTACTTCGTTCACGTACAACTGAACAACGGATTAGAACGATTTTTGCGTATAGATATGTAGTTTATGAGCCGGAGAGTGACGTAGTTTAAAGTGGCAAATTTTTATATCGAAAAATCTTATTGTTTCTGCGATACAGATCTGGTGTAAATCTATACAAATAAATAAAATTGAAGTGTCTGTTTGTTACGTCAAAATAACAGTATTCTAGAAAATGCATATGAAGGTACATACGGTACTTATAACAAAAACACAATTTTAAATTTTTTTCTGTCTGTCTGTCTGTCCGTTTGTTCCAACTAATCTCCGAAATGGCTGGACCTATTTTGACGGGACTTTCACTGGCAGATAGCTGATGTTACAAGAAGTAACTTAGACTACTTTTATTTAAAAAAAATATTTAGGGTTCCGCGCAGAAAAAATTAAAGCCCGTGAAATCCCATCGTAACTTATTATCACATGCGGGCGAAGTCGCGGGGAACAGCTAAACTGTAATGAAAATGAAGTCAGAAAAGCATATTCCCTTCAGTTTTGTATATACTATATATGATTTATAAATGAACGGAACAGAACGTTCAATTATACCTAAATATACTTTGGTTATAAATATCATCGTCATAATCATTACAGCCCGTCGCAGGTCCACTGCTAAAAACAGGCCTGTGCCAAGGAATGCACAAAGCACGGTCCTGAGCTATCTGTATCCATCGATTTCCAACACATCTTGTTAGTGTCATATCATAAGCAATTTTAAGTAGTAAACAGAACTTCTTGAAACAATGACGTTCAGTGTTGGGTGCGACAAAAATACTATATTCAACTACTACGCGGACGAAGTCTCAGGCAAAAGTAAATATGAAATAAAGGTGAACGTGAACTATGGTTCTTGTAAATGATGACGTTTTCCGACCTATATGAGGAATGTATTACTGTCTTAAGAAAAAACTTGTCATGCGTCTTCTGACGGTTTGGCAATTACGACATCCCGTTTACACCAGACGAAAAATACTCGTACTTCTACAATTCGGTCACGGACGGCCGCGCCAAAGATGGAGACGTCTGACACTGACAGGCCTATTTCGAGAACTGAAGAACAAGCTAAAGACATCAATAAATATAAATAGTCATTAATCCACAGACCCTTGATAGCTTTTTATTCGCGAAGCTTAAGCCATAAAAAAGTATTTCTCTGTTTTCTCCCTGGATAGTGACAATAGAGCTAATATAATTATGATATGATACTTCACTGCACTTTACTCTAGGCAGTGACAGTTTATTTACCCCACCTTATGTTTTAGGGAAGTATACGTGAACCCGGAAACAGGGGAGGTGTGGAACGAGGGCGATTACATTCGCGAACCAACCCTGGCACAAACATTGGACGTGATCGCCGAAGAGGGCCCGGAGGCGATTCACAACGGTTCGCTTACGGCCGCGCTCGTCAGAGATATTCAAGCGTTCGGCGGAATCGTCACCGAAGACGATCTCAGGAATTACAGGTAATATTTTTTTTAATAATAATATTAGCAATGCTATCAACATTAGTGATGTTCCTTTTAACCACTCCTGGTAAGCTTAAATGCTTGTGTTAATATAAATTACCTTCTTTTTTATATCTCGGAATGTGCATTGGTCGATAATAACCTTCAAAACAAATTAAAGAGCCCGTCACTTAGCTCTTCAAGTAAGATAAAAGTAAAAGTAAAGTTGCAGCTTCAGATCATAAAGTTCTGAGGTTACAGCCTATATGAGTAATAAGCCTGCTAATGCGTGTTGGCGAATTGTTTTCACACGGCTATGATATTTATCATAACAATCAACATATTATGCTGAGTTGGGACGGATTTGTGACAGCGACTTTTATAAACAGTTTTAGACAACACACATATCGTATGCCTTCTAATGTCTATTGTTTCGTTATAATGAAATGCATTTTTCTTTCTTTCTGTTTTTTTATTTATTTATTATTAGATAAAAATTGTTATAATATTGCTATGCAGCACAGCGAAAAACCATGCAGGTTTGTATTGCGTGCCGTTCCGTCTACATTTACAAAAATTGGGATAACAACTAATATTTTTTTATTTATTTATTAAGGAAGTAACATTTTAATTTATACTTTATGTTAACTTCATTAAGTTCACTTTTAAATTTATTATCCAGACCGTTTATTAAGCGAGGTATTATGTATGCGCAAGTGCGCTCACCATATTTATTTTTGCATGGTATTGTTATTCATTTTTTTTTTGAGTTACTTTGCCGGTCTGAATTTTATTTGAGACTGTATGTTGTATACCTAAATTAAAGAATTGTTCTTTTAACAATTGATATTGGACTTTGTCATGGAGGATATTGAGTACCTTGCAGTATTTAAATATAAAGTTTGCATTAGTTTTTGCCTGAAGTTTAATTTTTATAGGTATAATCGCTTTTAAAATCCTAAGTTGTAGTTGATAAATGTACTGTAGGTGTGATTTCTCTGTTCGTCCGTAGCTACTTAGCCCATAAGTTATGACTGAATCAGCAAGAGCGTTATAAAGCATCATTTTGACTCGAAAGTTTAATCGCTTTCTAATTATAAACATATTCGCCAAAAATGCTCTAAGCTTATCACATACATGCTTTATATGCTCGTGCCAATTGAACTTATGGTCTACTACTAAGCCTAAATTTTTATGCGATGTAACTAATTCAATCGTGGAACACTTACAATTAAGTTGAGGTTGGTGAAGGCAATTATGATTATGCGCAATGATTTTATGTTTTAATATGCTATGAGACTTTAAGTTTGGCGAGTGTATATGGACTAATTTCGTCTTTTGAGAATTTAATATGAAAGCGTTCTCATGGCACCATTTATTTAATGAATCAAAATCATCCTGTAGCAAAAGCAGGGCGTCATTGACATCCTTAGCAGCTACAAGCATACACGTATCATCAGCGTATTGATAGTTAGTACAATATCTAAAGATTTTATTCATGTCATTGACATAGGCTATAAAGTGCAATGGTCCAAGTACGGAACCTTGAACTGTGCCTTCAGTTACTTTGACTGATGTGCTGTAGCTTTCACAAATTTTAACACGGTAGCTTCTATTAGTCGGATAGTTTTAACACCAATTTAAAAGAGGTCCACGAATACCTGTATTTTATAACTTCCTAATCAGCTTATTATGATCTAATGTATCAAAGGCGCGAGAAAAATCAATAAATAGAGCTAGAACATGTAGTTTCTGATTCATCCATGAATTAACTTGATCTGTGAATTCCGATAATAACATTGCAGTGTTCTTACCAGGCCTGAAACCGAATTGGCTAGAGCTTAAAATATTACTTTTTTGATAAAACTCGTGTATTTGAATACAGGTATATTTTTCCGCTATTTTATCTATTGATGATGTTAAAGTAATCTATAATTATTTGTGTCATCAAACTTACCTTTTTTATGGACTGGTCTAACACATCCCACCTTAAATTCATCTGGATATGTCTCTGTTTTAATACAGGTATTTACAAATTTAGCTAAAGAAGAAGAAATTATATTGGCAATGCTCTTGATATCTCTCATTCTAATGCAGCCTTTAACCTGAGCCACAATGAGCCAAAACCTGAGGCTTTATCAGTACTTAACTTATTAATTAATTTATATACACTATCTGGCGTTGCCTTCTTAAAGTACATGCTACAATTATTTACATTTGCTGGTAAATTGTTTTGATCATATTTTAATATTTTCTGGTTGCAGTTTGGCAAAATATCTTTCACGGCAGAGTCAAAATTATTCGTAAATTTGTCTGCAATACGTTTTGGTAAAAGATTTAATGATTTAAAAGCATTTAATATAACTTCATCTATTGATTTTGCAATCCTACCAGCGATATCATTCAAAATTTGCCATAATTTTCTTGAATTAGCAAAATTTTTATTTATTTTACTTTTATAATAAGAATTTCTGTAATATTCAGTTACCTTGTTTACCTTATTTCTTTTCCTATTGTATTCTAATCTTAATACTATGTTATTCTGGTCTTTCTTCCATTTATTAAATAGCTCATCACGTTTATCACTCAAATTAATTATTTTTTTATAAATCCATGGTGCCTGTCGATACAATTTTGAGTTATTATTAATTGTTCCCTTGAATATGCATTATTAAAAGTATCTTTTATGACAGTGTACATTTGCTGCGGTGACTGCATCTCATCAATATGAGACCATTCCGCAGTACATAATTCCTATCTTTTATGACAGTGTACATTTGTTGCGGTGACTGCATCTCATCAATATGAGACCATTCCGCAGTACATAATTCCTATCTTTTATGACAGTGTACATTTGCTGCGGTGACTGCATCTCATCAATATGAGACCATTCCGCAGTACAAAATTCCTCACCTAATATTACAGGGTCGTATATAGGTATTTGTTTACTTGCGATATAGTTAAGTTTTTTTGACTCATGGATACTGCATAATGCAACCACGGTCAAGCGATGATCCGCCAGTACAGTATCGATCACGGCCGTGCAAGGATCTGTTGTGTGGGAGCGCACAAAGATGTGATCAATGCAAGATTGTGTAGTTAAGCTTAATCTTCTTTCAATACGTGTATAATCGGTGATATCACACTTCAGTCCTTGCTCCGCCAGCAGGTTTAAGTACTTATCTCTGATATTTGATGATAATTTTAGGTCTATGTTCACATCTCCAGCGACTACAACATTAACAAAGTGCTGTAAGTTATTTAATAATATTGTCACTTCATTTACTGTCGTCCTTGCTAAGGGATGGCGCCGTTTCTTCCTCCTCATTTTCAGATTTGTCAACAGAAACAAATGCTGACGATCTGCGAGACGCATTGCATAAGCATTCGGCGCAGCTCCACTCGAGTCCAGGAGTGTTACGAAGAGTCGCCAGTTGTTTGTTTGATAACTTCGCACATTCATGAGTTGCGTGGACACTTTTCTCACACCTACTACATACTATTTCGAGAACTTTTTTCGTTATATTTTTATTACACGCCGAGAATTTAGTTATACCCATTGTGTAGGTGTTCTTTCTGTCATCATTACAGCTTTTCACAAGTTCACAGCTAAACTTAGGCCACCTTCAAGGAACGCAACAAAATACGGTCCTGAACCACCTGTATCCATTGACTTACCGCATGTCTCACTAGGGCGTCACTCCATCTATTATGGTTCTGTCCTTCGCTTACCTGTATGAGGCTACCACTCAAGACCTTTTTCCTTATCGGGAGTCAATTCCTTGAGCTATGGACGGCCCATTGTCAGTTCGGCTTGCTGATCCGTTAGGCTAAGCTGGTTACTTTAGTTGTACTGCGAATTTCCTCAAGACAAAGCCTATAATATTATTTAAATAAATATTATTATAAAAATGTAATATAATCCAATCAAGAATAATTTTTTTCTGGGGTAATATTATAATAATTGAGATCAAGAAATAAATACACTTAAATGACACGATATTCGTCCAGGCTGTTGTAGAAAATCAACAACCTGATTATGTTTAAGATTAATATGCACGAAGTTACTCGTATAAAATTTTGTTTTGTAGAATTATATCTGGGGTAATATTATAATAATTGAGATCATGAAATAAATACGCTTCAATGACACGATATTCGTCCAGGCTGTTGTAGAAAATCAACAACCTGATTACGTTTAAGATTAATATGCACGAAGTTCCTCGTATAAAACTTTGTTTTGTAGAATTATATCTGGAGTAATATTATAATAATTGAGATCATGAAATAAATACGCTTCAATGACACGATATTCGTCCAGACTGTTATAGAAAATCAACAACCTGATTATGTTTAAGATTAATATGCACGAAGTTCCTCGTATAAAAAATTGATTTGTGGTATTATATCTGAGGTAATATTATAATAATTGAGATCATGAAATAAATTCGCTTCAATAACACGATATTCGTCCAGGATGTTGTAGAAAATGAACAACTTGATTATGTTTAAGGTTAATATGCACGAAGTTCCTGGTATAAAAATTTGTTTTGTAGAATTATATCTGGAGTAATATAATAATAATTGAGATCATGAAATAAATTCGCTTCAATAACACGATATTCGTCCAGGCTGTTGTAGAAAATCAACAACCTGATTATTTTTAAGATTAATATGCACGAAGTTCCTCGTATAAAAATTTGTTTTGTAGAATTGAAAAGAATAAGCAAGATTTATATTTCGCACGATTCTGAAACAACTCTCTCACTTTTTCACATCCATATATATATACGAGGGTGACACTGAAAGTTTTTAGAAAATCAAAAACTGCACAAACTAGCAAGTTATTAGTTTTAATATATCTGTTCAAAATAGTGTCCATTTACATACATCAATACATCGCTGCTTCCGATAGAACCACTGAGAAAAGCACTTTGCCCACTCGTCCTTAGGGGTAGGGAATAAATAAAAATCGCAAGGTGAGTCGATTTTATGTGAAGCGGCGATAGAACAATTTTTCGTGGAGGTACCAGACATTTATGCTTTATATTCAGTTTACCAGGAACATTCTTCTCTAACTGGCTATTATAATGATCTTGTTTGCTTCTCGAATGCCACAAACATAAAAAACAACAATATTTTGTATAGCCGCCTTGCAAGCCCAAAAGCAAACCAACTTTTCATACGTGGTAGAGCCATGCTGCAGCTATATTTCTGGTATAGTTGTAACACGAATGGGTAAGCTCGACCAGGGAAGGACCACGCTCTCACAGAATACCAGCGTAAAATAGCAGCTTAATGCTGCTGTGTTTCGTATGGTGAGTGTAGAGAACCGGAGACCCTTTTTACTGGAAACGAGGCATTCCATCTTAGTCCTCACTGGTGACAACGCATCTGCATTTTGATTCGTAATCGAGGATAAATGTAGATGTCTATGGACCACAGCAACCACTTACCATCAGGTGGACTGTGTGCTCTTTGTCACCCTTATCCTATATAAAAAAAAACAAAAAAAACTACTTTCAAATCACCACAAACAATCCAATTGTGATTTTTGCATTCAATAAGTTCAATAAGTGTTGACATATTTTCATACGTTTGTTTGGTATGTACTGCGTGACCTATCGGAATAGACAGCTTCACGTTACCATTATGTAGAAGAACTGCTTAACAAAATTCGTTTTCCTGTTTAAAATATGTTGAAAAACATTCACTTCATTTACGGTTACATAGTAACTCTTGTGTTTGGAGCAAGTAACCTCCATTGTTGCAGTCGTGAACCTAGTAATTCAGCCTTGGACTTAGATAGTTAGTAGAAATCTTTAACTAAATCATTCAATTCAGGCTCACTTATCATGTGTGGTTCTTCATCAACATGAAACAATTCACCTGAATTTTGAATTTGAACTTCTTTAAATTCCGTGTTAGTCATCAATGTTTCACTGGAAGAATCATGTGATTCTGGAACTTACTGCTTGTCAGAACTGTAGATGGGTTAAGTAAACGGGGGAACATTTGCATATTTAATTTTATCTTTGTTCTTGTGGTTAAAACCAAATGTTTTTGTAAAACAAAAGTAACAATCATTTTCGTGTATTGGAGGGTTCCCTACATATCATTGGCATATTATTAAAATTCAAAGATCTGTTTCCAACTGTGGCCCAGTAGCTTAGCGTTCTACTACATGTTTCACAAAATACGTGGGGATCCCACGTTTTGTTCTGGTGAGAAACCGATATTTTAAAATAATAAAAATATGCTTTTTGAGTGATTCCGTTATGGGATATCCTTTCTTAGATAGTATAATAAGTTCAACACAAATCTAATAAAAACGGTCTGACTGTACTTTACACATCTTTTTTGAGATTTTAAAAACAAATATTTTTTTCATTGAACACTACACTGCATCAAAATTTTAGAATGAATTCAGAAGTGTTTTGTGAGTGTGACTTGTTGTTACCCTGAAAATAAAATGTAGTGATAACTTAATTTTTTAACGTCATAAAAATAAAAAACATATATTTTTACGTTTAGTTACTGCTACTAAATAAAATAATATGAATTCACTGAAGGACATAATTTTTTTTTATTTTGTCTTCGTATTTCAAAATTTTCAAACAATTGTCCATAAGCATATTAAACAGCCACGGGGAAGCTTAAAAAATTTGTCTGACACCTTTACGGATGCCTATGGATATGGATGTTGACGCTATCATCCCTGACTCAAGCAAAAGAGTCCCTAAAAAAATTAATGCCTGTATCATTTTTAAAATTTTTGTCTGTCTTCCTGTTTTTCCGGGTTAGTCTTCGGCATGACTCAACCGATTGTAATGAAACTTCACTAACAGTAGTGAGTAGTGCCAGAAGTGATATAGACTATATTTTATCGGAAAAACTTGGAAATTTATTTGAAAAACGAAAAATGTATAAAATAAATGCTCTTTCAGTATCTTAAAACTAAAATAACGTATAAATCCTATTCAGGCGATGTTGAGTAAAATTTGCTCTTCATTTTTCATTTGAGTGAAATTTATCACTTTTGTATACTTTATTTTAACATAGGGTGGAATGGCAAGATCCTATCGCGGTGCCCATAACAGAAGACTACACGTTGTACTCGGTGCCGCTGCCGGGATCGGGCTCGGTGCTGGCGTTCATCCTCAACATGTTGCGCGGCTGGGTCGGGCCCGGGAGCGACGTGCCCATCACCTCCAACCTCTACTGGCACCGCATCGTAGAAACCTTCAAATATGCGTACGCGAAGCGAACCGGCCTCGGCGACCCTTCACGTTATAACCTGCCGTATGCCATCCAGGAGGTAATTGCTTTCATTAATGTATTTTACCTTCTAAATACGATGATTATGGCCGATTTTAATTTAAGACTCTTGAATACCAGAGTAAAATAGCAGCTTAATGGGTGTTTCGTATGGTGAGTCTAGGGAACCGGAGAACATTTTTACTGGAAAAGAGGTATTCCATCTTAGTCCTCAGAGGTGACAACGCATCTGCATTTTATTTCTTAATTGAGGAGAATTGAAGATGTCTGTGGGTCACAGCATCCACTTACCATCAGGTGGACTGTATGTTCGTTTGTTACTCTTATTCTATACAAAAATAGAGAAAATAAAAAAGAAGTAACGACTTTATTTATCATCGCAATTGGTTGAAATTTGTGGGACCACTGTATCACTAAGAGTAAAGTATAGGTGTGGTACTAAGCAACTAAGATGGACTGAGATAGAATACTTCACATCAGAACACAGCGGCCCAGCTGCTGCTGTTTTGTAGCAAAAAACTATTGAGTGGTCCTTATCTAAACAAAGATAAACATTCGTGTCTGATAAATTTGTAGACACGAATGTTTATCTTCAAACACCTTCCTAAATTCGAATATCTGGGCTTGATTATTAAAATATAGTACAGCAAACATTTAATTGTATAACTCATTGAGTTATATGTACGTGTGCAGTACATACACACACACACACATATTAACATATTATATTATAAATTAATGTTTAAAAAAGTTCCCATTCTTGCTGGTTCTTCCCAGGAGAGAAATTTCTTTCCGAATCAGTGGCAAAGCTCAAAATAAATGATTTTCAAGAAGTATTCTTGTAATCTAGATTGAATCAAAATTATTTTACAATATTTTATTATAATATTTTTTTATAAAATATTTTAATTTACTTTAATGGATTAAGTAGGTACATTTTACTTTAGTGACAGTAAGTAAATGTGATCTTCGCATCGTTAACCCGTTTAGATTTTTTAATGAAATAAAAATACTATGAAAATGCCGTTTTTTTAAACTTGGAATTCTAAATTTAAATAACTTTTATAAGTAAGCCGTAAAAGCTTGGATTTCGTTTTTCAAAAATTTTTGTTTTGGATTTTGTTGATTGATGATTTTGCAGTAAGTATCACTAAATTTTTTATTTATGGTTTAAGAAAAAAACGTGTTATTTTTGAATGTGAGTATCGACTTGAAAACAATGAGTCTCAAACAAGCGACAATGCGTGTTGATCTAATAAAAAAATCTATCGCAATTCACTACTAAACAATGAATTCTGATCATTTGCAACAAATCGGTAATTTGAGAAGGTTTATATTTGATAAATGGATCTCACGAACTGAGTGACGCATAGTTGACGACAGAAAAATTGGCAAAATCAGCAGAACTAAAGCTTGCTCCAACGGACTTCCATTTTTCGTTCTGAAAGGCAAATTTTTCATTTCCTTTAAAGAGTTCATCGATTCTCGCGAAGCAGTCTTCCATAACAGGAGCATCAACAAAATGTTACATAAAGTGGCTAGAATGTCGTAATAATGTAAGGCAATATTTAAAGTTTATTTTTTATTTTTATAAAATAATGTTTACTTAAGTTTTCTAATACAAAACGGCAATTTCATAGGTTTAATTCTGTCCAGTTTACTATTTCCGACTTCATTCGTGGCTTGAAGCCTTAGCCGCAATCAGCGAGGAGAAGACCATAATTTTATACTACCAACATGGTATAAATATTTAAAAAATTTAAGTCGTTTTCCAGTTAGAACGGAATCTGTCTTCCCGAGAATGGGCGGAGTCGCATCGTGCCTTGGTAGACGACACACGCACGTTTTCGGACTGGCGACACTATGGTGCTCTATTCGAGGGCGCTGACGACCACGGCACCGCTCATATAGTAGTCGTTGCGCCGGACGGTAGCGTCGTGTCAGCCACAAGCACCATTAATTACATGTAAGAGTTTTTGTAACTTCAACAGCTACAACTAATAACTTCAGCTATATTATTGTTTATTAATTTGCATTTCAATCAAAACACGACCAACAGTGAAGGAAAGTATCGTGAGGAAACCTGCATTTATGAGGAATTAAATATTTGAAGGGCATAAGAAGTCAGTCAGCGTTGTATATATAGAGGTCAGTGGTCAACACGCACTAGAGCGGCGCTGGACTATAGTTGGTCCATAAGCCTCTCGGAAATGAGATGAGGTCTGCGCCCAGCTAGTCGGACGTATATAGACTTTTTTGTTACATAAGTGTATAATTATTTATTATACTCATTTAGCGTTTTTAAAGTCCATTGCTGTATATAGGCTTGCCCGCAGATTGCCTCATATGAAAACTTTTGCCATAGTTGCCACGCTTGTCATGCGGGTTGGCAACCACAGTTTTTTATTAAGTATTTCCTGTATTTACCAATGAACCCTGTATTTACCAAGAAGATGCTGCCGTCCATACCTGTTTCAGTTTTTCTCCAACAGCACCCACGGGATGATATAGGCTATTCTTAAGATAGCACTACACAGCATTATATTTATTATATACATAATCACTCACACCTGTAACCCGGAAGGGTAGGCAGAGACTACAAACGTTCCATTTGTTCCATTTGGTACTATCCTGACACACCTCTCTCGCATCCTATATAACACATAACGTTCTTGGTCGCTTAATGGTATTCTTAATTTGGCCCATCATCATTAATACTTATATCGCCAATTTGGTCGATAAATTTTCACCTACAGCGTCCCTTGCCAACTCTACATTTTTTATTTTTAAACTACATACTCTTAATTTAAAATTTATCGACATTTCCAGATGGGGATCACAAAGGCGATCGCGAAGTCTCGGTATAATGTTGAATAACGAGATGGACGATTTCGCGATACCGAACCGGGAATCGGCTTACGGGCTGCCGCCCTCACCGGCGAACATGCTGGCTCCGGGCCTGCAGCCGCTCAGCTCCATGGTGCCGAGCATCGTACTGTCGCAGGACGGCGTCGCAAGCCTTGTACTTGGCGCGGCGGGTGGCACCAAAATCACTACTCAAGTGGCCTTGGTGAGTAAACTCTGTTTTATTGGTCAAAGGTACACCCTAAAATTATTATGTTTTAATAATAGAAAACTAGATTTCACAGTACGCTTCGCGTACGCGTACGCGTTTCACGGATCGACGGACGATGACGATCCCCGCCGGCACCAATAAAATTGTTAATGGCATTTCAATGTGCTGATTAACCACGTGCTCAGCACTGAAGAAAAACATCGTGAGGAAACCGGCATGTTTGATTTTTATTTTATAGGATAGGGTGACAAACGAGCACACAATCCACCTGATGGTAAGTGGCCACTGCGACCCATAGACATCTACATCTATCCTCAATAAAGACTCAAGATGCAGATGCGTTGTCACCCGTGAGGACTAGGATGGAATGCCTATTTGGCAGTAAAAAGGGTCTCCGGTTCTCTACATTCACCATACGAAACACAGCAGCGTTAAGCTGCTATTTTACGCTGGTTTTCTGTGAGAGCGTGGTCCTTCCCCAGTCGAGCCGACCTATTCGTGCTACAACTATACCACTAATATAGCTGCGGCATGGCTCTACCACGAAGGCTACAAATGCATCGTCACCTCTCAGGACTAAGATGGAAAGCCTCACAGCCCGTAATTACAATACTTGTTGACATTTTTGGAGAGCACCACAGCTCTTACACCATTGAGTTATAATATTATGTACTACGTACTAGAGAAACCATTCTAAACAAAAAATTTGCACTACTCTATGTCTTAGCGCATGCGCGGGGGAAAGTAGAGTCGCACATACGCAGTTGCGCCACCACAGACTAACTAGTAGTTTGAAACCACATTAAATGACACAATGTACGGATTGCAGTATAGTTCGGTTGAACATAGTGTATGTTCGGAATGCGCAATCTAATACGTAGTACATATATATCGATGTCTTACACTGTATTCAAAATACAATTAAAGCTTTTACTATTATTACAACACGTTCATAAAACATTTTACACAGGCGGTTATGCATACAATCCTCGAAGGAGTTGATCTACCAGATGTCATGCTTCGACCGCGACTTCATCATCAACTATTGCCGATGGAAGTTGAATACGAAGCAGATTTCGATGCGGTAGGTATACTTTTATGCATAATAAAATAAAATCTAGCCCGGTTGGTCAAAAATTTTTACGGGTGTTTTACGCCCCGGGAAAACTGGATAGAAAGTAGGTTATAAGGCCACACTTTCTATCCAGTTTTTCTTTCTAAAAAAAGAAGGATTGCGATAAATAATATTAATGATACATATATATATATAATTTTTTATGAATGCAAATAAATTGAGATGCTTAAGGTCGCTCCATAAATTACTACATAGCAGTAATGTACATACATATTATATATATATATATATATATATATATATATAATGTATATATATATATATATATATATATATATATATATATATATATATATATACATTTATATATATAGTAATAGTAATAGAAAACAGAAGGTTATTATCAATGGTAAAAGTTCTTCCGGGTCACCTGTACTAATGGGTGTACCTCAGGGCTCGATTCTCGGCCCATTCCTGTTTCTGGTGTATATTAATGATTTACCTCACCTTGTAGGGGATAGTCATGATATAGTATTATTTGCTGATGATACTTCCTTGATTTTTAAACTTAAACGTCAATCATTTAAATGTGACGAAGTGAATAATGCTATATCAAAATTAGTGCATTGGTTTAACGTTAATAATCTGCATTTGAACGGAAATAAAACTAATTGTGTTAAATTTACAACAACGAATGTTCAAAATCTGAATACCAATGTGTTTTTAAATGGGGAGGAATTGAGCCCTGTTGTATCCACTGTTTTTCTTGGCATCACTCTTGACGCAAAGCTCCAGTGGGGCCCCCATATATTCAAATTAGCAAGCAGACTAAGTTCTGCAGCCTATGCTGTAAAAAAGATTAGAGGTCTCACTAGTGTCGAGACAGCTAGATTAGTTTATTTTAGTTATTTTCATAGCATAATGTCTTATGGGATTTTGCTATGGGGAAATGCGGCTGATTCAGAAACTATTTTTGTTTTACAGAAGAGGGCCATTAGAGCTATTTACAATCTAAAACCGAGAGAGTCTCTTAGAGATAAATTTAAAGAAATTAATATATTAACTTTGGCCTCTCAGTATATTTACGAAAATTTAATGTATGTTCACAAAAACAAAGATAGTTTTAGTAAAAGAAGTGATATACATTCTGTAAACACTAGGAACAAACACAAGCTAGTGATACCAGTTTCTCGACTCCACAGAGTCAGTAATTCATTCTTGGGGCAATGTATACGCTATTACAACAAGGTCCCGGAAAGTGTACAGGTTCTCTCTATTACCAAGTTTAAATGTTTTATTAAGCTGAAACTGTATAAAAAGGGTTATTATAGTATAAATGAATACATGGTTGATAACAACCCCTGGGAATGAGGTGATCGCTTCCAAGCAGTTTCTAAAATAAATTTTGTAAATAGTTCGTAATCATTTATATTGTAAAATTTATTTAAAAAAAAAGTCCCGCTGGGTTTCTTGCTGGTTCTTCCCAGGACAGAGGGTTTTTTTCGAACCAGTGGTAAAGTAAAAAATGACTTTCAATAAGAATTACACATGTAATGTATATTGAATAAAAAATATTCTATTCTATTCTATTCTATTCTATATATATATATTTATATATATATATATATATATATATATATATATATATATATATATATATTATTATATCTATTATATATATATATATATATAATAGATATAAATAAATATATATATATATAATATATAATAGGCTCCTTAATCTAATGATCGTAAGCGTGACTGCTGACCAAGAGGTCCTGAGTTTGAATCCTAGGCCGCGTCGAAATCAGTTATTTGTTTCCTGTCAAGAAATTCCCAGGCCCAGTGTTTCGTCCTCGTGCCTTGTAAAATTCGTAAAACCGTTGGTCCTGCGCCTGATCTCTCTCCAGTCGTGTCGTATTACAGTCCCATGAACTGTGAGAGCAAAGACATAGAGAGAGCGCCTATGTATACATGCGCATACAGTGCCAGTCAACGGAACGAAATGGGGTAACGGATTTTCTTATGTTGTCACCACAGAGCCAGCACTAATAGGTAGTAGTAGTAGTATAGTAGTATATACCTACTTCTGGCTAATCTGCCCTATGATCAGACCTACTTGTTACTTTTAGTTTATAACACATTATTGCAATAACTATTTCAAAATAGTGCATAGTATAGACTGATGTGTCAACGTTCTTGAACGTGAACAAACGAGTTTGCAATTATTGCAATATCTCTTTCGTAAAGGAGACAAGGACACATTGCGTAATGCTTCTAATCTTTATTCACAATGCATCTGTCAGTTGCGAAATTTATTGCGCCTGCTTTTTAACAAACATTGTTTTGTCAGTCAGTTGTTTCATTACCAAAAATTAGTAAAAATTTTAATACCATCATCAGCATTAATGTTATAATAGGTAACGGTACGTAAGTTAAACTTACGTACCGTTACCTTTACAGCCTTTCAAAAGTTCTCAGCTGATTTCCACCAGAGATGTGCGAAGCAGCTGAGCGGTGCGAGGATGTGTAGCGACGCTATGAAACGGTGCACAGATGAGCGGTGCGAGGATGTGTTGCGGGCTCGTTTAAAGCCGCGTCTCCACCAAAGTTTTGTTACCAACTGTTATGTTGCCAACACGTGTTGCTAACAAATGTTTCTGTAATTACCTAAAAAAAACTTGAAACAATGTCGGGAACCGTGTTTACATTTTCGGCGGCAACACAAAAGAAATACGCTTGTTGCAAACATTTGTCCCCTCGGTGGAGACGCTTGTTGGAAACAGTTAGAAACATAAATGTTGTCAATATTTTTGGTGGATACGCGGCTTTAGATGCGAGCGGGGTGAAGTGTGGTGGGAGCGGAGCGCGCGTGCCACTACCCGCTGCTTCTTGCGTCCTTGCCTAGCACAGATCCTTCGCTACACATCCCTTCCCTTATTTTGTATATACCTCGCTCCGCTAAGCCGTTTCCAAGAGTGCTGCGCTGAGCGAGGCTAGGTAAATGAAGTGATTCTATTGGTTCTTAACAAACACATCCCTCCATACGCATCCTCGCACATCTCTGGTGGAAACGCAGCCTTAAGAAGCTGAACATAGGCCTCTTTCATAGATTGCCCTAAATGGCATAATTCCCACGCTTGGCTTTTTTTAGTTGTTGCGAGTTGTTGTTGAGTTTTTTTTTGTTGGTGTTAGGGAGACGCTACTGCCCTTCTTCTGATTTGTTTCCCTCTAGAGCCGCTTACGACATCACCGGAACTATATATTTTTTTATAGGATAAGGGTGACAAACGAGCACACAGTCCACCTGATGGTAAGTGGTTGCTGTGGCCCATAGACATCTACATCTATCTTCGATTAAGAATCATTGTCACCCGTGAGGACTAAGATGGAATGCCTCGTTTCCAGTAAAAAGGGTCTCCGGTTCTCTACACTCACCATACGAAACACAGCAGCGTTAAGCGTCAGTTGTATACGCTTGCAATGTAAGAGAGTCTGCAAACCCGTGCGGCCATTGCGCGATTTGAGTGCGGCTGGCCGCGGCCGCATGCTCCGCCCTTTCCGTCAACACGTGTATGTTAGCGAGTACGCGATCAGTAGGTGGCCGCAGCGCGGTCAGTTGCAAATTTTTACAACAGGCCGCGTGTACCGCGTGCAAAATGGTGCTAAAATCAGAGATTTTAATAGAAACAGAGCAAATTTATCCAGTAGTTTATAGTAATTCGAATCGTGATTACAAAAGCATTAGGATTAAAAACAAAATATATGACAATATTGCTGAATATAATAAGACTTCATCACGGTTAGCCATGTTACTGACGTCTAATAGTAGCACAGACACCACATGAATGGCGCTTCAGGCCGCCGTTGCGACCGCGGTGGTGTGTTGTTGCAGCGGTTGGAGCCGCGGCCCACGGTTAGCCGCCACCGCAAGCCGCTTGTGTGTGGGAGACGCTTAAAGCTTCAAGTTTTAATTAAAGTCCTCATCAGTTAGATTACAGATAATCTGAGCTACTTGACTTTATGTTGCTCCTAAAGTATTTGCTCATGGGTATAATTACCCTTTATTGTATCTCTCTTGACAGTTGTAGATTGCTCATTTTTTCCCTGAACCTGAACGAGCACGAGAAAACATTAATTCATTATTATGTGCATTGCAAATGTCATAACTATACGTATGCAATGTTTTATTGTTACATGGCTTATTAAGTTACAGCCATAAATTCCATAACTGTCCATTGTGTTCAAAATCATTTGCGACACAATACGCTATAGTAATATGTGTGACATTTACATACATTTAACATTTTACTGTTACTACTATTATATTATTAAATTGACTGCTTAATTGGTTTAGTAGTATACATAAACGCGACTGCTGATGATCAGGTCCTGGGTTCGAATCCCTGGTCGGGTCGAAATTAGTTATTGGTTTTTCTGTCAACATTCTCAGTATCAAAGCAGAATAAATGATAGTACAAGAAGTAGCAGCCCTGAGTCAGGAAGATGTCGGTGTTTCACTCTCGTGGCTCGTAAATCACGTAAAGCTGTGGATCCTGTGTCTGATATTTCGCCGGTATTGTCGTATTATCGTCCCATTGAACTAGGAGAACGAAAAAATAGAGAGAGCACCTATGTATGCACATGCGCGTACATGCCAGTCTCCATTGACACTGGCTGCCGGGAAATTCGGTCTGCAGGACAATTACTATTATGTATAATATATATATGTATAGGTGTGATATTATACGTATAATACAGGGGCGTAGCTAGCGCCGTATCAGCCGTATCAATGATACGGGGCCTCCGGGGTACAGAGGCCCCGAACGTATGCAAGCAAAAATTCTAAGGACTTCTATGGGACAGGATGTTGGTTTGAATTGTTTGGCTAGCTTAGTTCCTAGGAGTATTAGTTGTAAGTAATAACTTGTAATCAATATATAATTATTTTAATTCAGTGCGAGAGTTTTGATCCTTTTGTGAAAAAAATTTATTCACAAAACATTCCTCACTCAACGTAACGAATTCTTTTATCATTTAGCTATCGAGAGATGTAATAATGTAGATGTTAGATATGTAGCTGCTACACCAAACTGTATCCCCCGATTGCAAATTTTTAATTATAATAATAATAATAGATTGCAAATTTTATTTTAATTAATTTTCTGAATTGAATCCCACTATGGAAGCAAATTTAAAGACGTGTTCACGTCAAAAAAAGTACTTTTTATACTTTAGCTTCCAAAAGCGCTCGTGGATCTAACAGTAGATGTGAAATGTTACTTTCACTTTCTTATAAATCGACTGTTCGTTACAGACGGTGATACAGTCTCTGCAGGAGAGAGGCCACGCGACAACAGCTCGTGGCCCAACGGCAGGTTTTGCAGCAATGGTGGCGGCGGTTCGCGATGACAGCGGATACTTGATACCGCAGACTGATCGAAGAAGACTTGGCAGCATTGATGGTTTCTAATAAATTACATGAATTAAATATGTTTATGTATGATATAATATGTATGGATACCCAATGTTACATCCCAATGTTACATTCACTTAACGTTCGTCGTGTCGAAGAAAACCACGACTCAGAAAGATTTATTAAAGCAACAACTTTTATAATTTTATTATATTTAAAGCAAGTAAATTAAAATTAGTACACATATATGTACTTGCTGTGCGCACACACTAAGACAGAAAGTTAAATTTTAAGTTTTTTTAAGATCAATAAACAAGTAGCCCTGTTCCTAATGAAGAAGAGGAATAATCTCTTTATACAATACATACTGTTATACGAAAGACGATGTAAGTAATAAATAATGAAAAATATCCAATCAAAAAAGGGGCAAATACGTCCGTACTCTGTATTCTTAGAAAAAAAAAATAGGTATTAATTCAAATAATTTGTGTGATATATTTAGTAGAAATTGTTGTTAGTTAAAATAAAATTATTTTCGTTGTTAGATTTTTTAAATTGGTACTTATGGATTGTAAATAATATTTTATCTAATGTATTCATTTTATTTATAAGTTACTGTGATGTTTTCGTTTATTGTTTTAATTAAAGAAAAATTTAACGTAACGTATTTTCATTCATTGCTTATTATGCTTTTATAGCGATATCAGAACGGCATTTAGTCCTTAAAAACGTATTCCACTTTTTCTCCCTGAATTTCACTAGAGCAAATATTAAGCAAATAATTTTACCTGGTAGAGACATGCGGCAGCTATATTATGTTTAGACCACGAATGGGTCGGTACGACCGGGGAAGCACCACACTCTCACAGAATACCAGAGTAAAATAGCAGCTTAATGCTGCTGTGTTTCGTATGGTGAGTGTAGAGAACCGGAGACCCTTTTTTACTGGAAACGAGGCGTTCCATCTTAGCCCTCAGGAGTGACAACGCATCTATATATTAATTCTTAATCGAGAATAATTGTAGATGTCTATGTGCCACAGCATTCACTTATCATCAGGTGGACTGTTTGCCCGTTCTTGATTTTTCTATAAAATATGCTAAATACACTAGTAATTAATAGGTCAATATAGACTTAGAATATACTGGCGTTGACAATATTGATTTATGTTATTGTGTGGGTTAGATAGTGATGTGCATTATACTTACAAGGACTATCGAAAAATGATTTTGTTAAGGAAGCGGAAAAAAGATAAAAATTGTTTAATGCACGAAATTTAATAACTTCAAAAATTAACTGAATTTTACCATGATAGTTCTAAAATTATTAAAAAAAAAATATTCATATAACATGTTCCTGGAAAAAAGCTGAACCCACCTACCTTTTGTTGAATTTCGATTCAAATGTATAAAATCCCAGGTAACTCTACCGATTAACTTAATAAACCTCCCCAAGAATCTTGTATTTTCAAGCTATGTTATCTTTGGAGAAAAATATTTACTGCCATAAACAGTTTCCCGGGAATTTTTTAAACATATTGGTATAAATAGGTAGATACTTAAGTAAGTATATACATATTTATATTTTGTATATTTTATAAAATGATTTGATGGTGAAATAAAAAACGGGGACACGGAGTACATAATGTCTGCTTTATTTTTCATATAGATATTACTTTTGATTATTACAAACACTTAATAATTAGTAATTAAATACATAATAGAAGTTTATTTTAACATTCGACTTAAATATGAATGTAAACTTAATAATTTAAGTAAGGAAACTTGTAGGAATCAGTTAAATAAGATTGCTCTGTTTAAAGGCCAATATGTTTATGAGGTTTCATAATGCTTCATGTTTATATTCTTTTATCTGTCCCTGAAAAGTATAAAGTAATAATAAACTTATTTTGATCTTTACACAGGAATATTGACATAGTTACTTCTGCAAAGGCTTCGGCGCTGCGGGGAGTGCAGTCCCTTCGCCCTTGCGTAGCAAATCACAGGCACCCATGCTCACTTCCATAGCTTCGGCTTATTGGTCGCCTTCGGCCACCAGCCTCAGCCTTTACGTCTCACACAGATGCCTTCGATTTGTCACAGTGGGCGGGGGCTGCTTTCCCTCAGCGCCTACAGCTTTACAAAAATATTCTAGGGGTAGAGCCGACACGACTACGTGGAGTTGGGGCCTTCTGATTCAGTTTTAGTACAGATTCGACCTATCTTATCTATAATATATAACTGATAAAGAACAAAAAATGCCGTTCATACCTTATAGTAAGGTAATGGTGGTCCTAGACCTGATAACTCCCAGAATATTACCGTCACCTATATCCGACCTCAATAATCTTTCAGCACTTACTTCCGTGCTATTAATATTTATCGTATATCTATTATCGTCACTGCGTTGCTAGCGATACGTTTTGCCAGCAACGCCAATTTCAACAGTTCGTTACGGTGAAAATTTTAGAGCAACTAATTTTTAAAGTTGATAACTAATTAGCACCTAATTTGGGCTTTTCCTAAAAGCAATTTTGATTCTATTCTGAATTTCAGAAAACCTGAATTTGCATCTGCTTCGTTCTGAATAACGACTTTATTTGTATTAGGGGCGCCTTGTCATTACCTATACTTGCAGCACCTAATTAGCATTTAATCCCTTGCTATTAATATATATCGTATATCTAATAACTTCATTGTGTTTTTTTTTTGGAGTTTATGGCCTGGTATCTAGACCTTTAGGCCAAGTCTTAAGTATTTTTATTCGGTTTATTGTAATTTCCCCACTCCTTCATAGTATACTGCTTCACAATATGTTGATGCGTCACATTGTGCAGTTCTTGGGAGATTTTGGCGGCAACTTGATCCAGCAGACAGCTGATAGTTGGCGATGGTATCTAAAGGTGCCTATGCAAACAAACAGCTTATCTTGAGAATCCATCACCATCAGAGCATTTGTTTCACTGTTTCCACTAATAGTTCACATGCGTAGACACTTAATACACAAAATCGCAACGCTTTTACATATCAAAGTCCACTTCAAACCATTATTTAAACAATAATACAGGAGCAGCAAACCGCGGCCGGTCAATTTCCCGCCAAAACTCAACTTCATTGTGTTGCTAGCGAAACGTGTTGCCAGCAACGCAAATTTCAACAGTTCAGTGCGGTTAAAATTTTAGAGCACCTAATTTTTAAACTTGACACCTAATTATCACCTAAAAAGCCTCTAATTTTGGGTTTTTCTAAATGCAAATTCCTGACTTTGCGTTGCTGGCGAGACACATCTGTAAAAGTAACCCTGTTTTTGTAATAGAGGGCAGAGTAGACACAGTTCGAGTTCCTTTTCTTTAATAAAAAAAATGTAATAAAGTTTAGTATCGGGTTCTTAAATGTTATACCCTAAATGTAAAATTTTGCTTTGACGTTATAATAATATTTTATTTGTATTTTTACCATTGTTTTAATGAAATTTTAATGCGTACTATTTTTTTATGGAGTTCTTAACAAAATACGATTTTTTCAAATTTATGGTACGATCTCCTAAAATATAAAGTCGGCAACCTTATTCCTACATCTTTGAACTTTGGCGGACTTTTGGCGAGAACTCCAAACGTGGCGGTCGATTTAATTATTTTTACTGTTTTTCGTTAAAATATCCTGTGTAAATATTACCAAAACTTATTTTAGCCAGTGTAAATAATTGTACATTTTGTTAATTATTAAAATGAATGAACCGGAGGACCCAGGTGGAACCCCGAATCCGATCCAAAATTGTTCGTAAAAGAGGTACGAAGGAATGTGGACCTGAAATAGGCGGCGGTGAGGATGACTTTATTCCATTTTTTATGCCAGGTTATCTGAGACTTTATCCTGAACATTGTACAAATACGGATTTCAAAGTTGTTGAAAGCCAGGACCAACAGGTTAAACTTGAAAATAAAAGCCCAGTTTATTTAAATCATGTTTTTACTTCGGAGGTGAAAGGTGTGGTAGCGTTACATATAGTCAATGTCAACAAAATTGCAGTTGTTTTTAAACAATACAACACTGCAAATAATTTCATCACAAATACAGACTTTTTAACAAAGCACAACTTGAAGACGCATATTCCTGCAGCGCAGATAGAAAAAAACTGGAATCATCCGATATGTATCCGATGTGTAATCCTTCGTTCGAAATGTTGGTACATTTCGAACAAGGATATATACAAAACTGTCTTCGATCTATGAAATTATTTCAGTGAGAAGATTCACGAAAAAAGTCGGTCAAAGTACTGTAGGTCTCGAGACTCTCAGTATAACTTTCTTATCAAATGTTATGCCCGACAACATCCAATATGACCTATTTTCATTCAGGGTGTTTGAATATGTCCCGCCGTTGCAGCAATGCTACCGGTGCTTCAAGTTGAACCACCCTGCGAAAATTTGTAATGGTAAACAACGTTGCTCGATTTGTGCTAGGAAACATAATTTCAGAGACTGCGATAAAAAAGAGAACCTGTGTTGTGTCAATTGCAGTGGTCCTCACCTGGCCATTTCCAAATCTTGCCCAATAAAAATGAAAAAAAAAATACTTGAAAAAAAGGGTAAAATTACTTATGCCTCTGTGGCTAATACAATTAAGTCATCTGATTTTCCATCTTTACCTGCACAGTCGAGCAGCATTGTTAAGACCCTACCATCAATAAGCCAAAATGTACATAAATTAAATAAAAATGTAAAAATTGTAAATAATGTAAATAAAACAGTACCTGAACCCAACTTGAACCAAACTCAAGTTAAGGCTCAAATTGCAAACAATAAGAATATTCTGATGGCAATGGTCCAAACTTTAGTCGAATTGGGTAATAAAACAGATAATGAACCTGTGACATATACACTGTTCATTAATAACTTACTTTTAAAAAATCTGTCAGAATAATGGACAGTACAGTACAGAACACAGAGCAGTTATGTATAGCTCAGTACAATATTCAAAGTATTCATAGGAAAAAAACCCTTATTGTCTAAATTTTTTGATGAGCAAAATGTTGATATCTGTCTACTCAATGAAACTTGGCTGAAAGATACTCAGCATTTTAAAATTTCGGGATATAATTCCCATTATCATAACGCCCAAAATGAGCACGGTGGATTAGCAATTTTGATCAAACCGTATTTTAAATATCATATTATTCAAACCAGATTTTACCAAGACATTCAGACTGTGGCATTATCGTTATATGTAAGTGGTAAACAATTCACGATTTTATGTGTATACTGCCCTCCCTCGAATGTTAACTTCAGAGTAAGTAAACTGCGTGATATAATTAGAGATTTGCCTAAGCCAATATATGTGGCTGGAGATTTCAACGCTCACCATGTGGCATTTGGGTGTATGACCACTAAAAGTCGGGGTCATCAGTTATACAATTTAATTGATGAATTTGATCTATGTGTCCTCAACAATGATAGCTTCACTACTATTAATTATCCTAACCGAAATCCTTCGGCTATTGATGTCAGCTTTTGTAGTGCTTCAATCACTCCACTATGCGAATGGTGGGTGCATCATGATTGTATGGGGAGCTATCATTTTCCTACGCTTACTCGTGTTTTATTGTCAGTTGATAGATACCAAATTAATCCTCCCATTGAAAAATTCTTATACAACAAGACA